CTGCCCCGTGTATTCTGTGGGGGGGGGGGGGGGGGCAAATTCCGCTCAAAACTACAACTGCTCGGTGCAAACGGAGCAACAAGTCCAAGGCGACCCCTGCCACGCTGTCCGTGAATTTATGCTATATCAGGGGACTTCACTCTAACCTAAACGTCGTCCACTACTATCTCGAGACGCAGGTGTTCTCTCCGGCTGACGTCTCGTATCTCTCCTATCCGGGGTACAAATTGGAATACTCCTTTGTGCCCCGGGCTGGAGTTTGCGTTTACGTCAGAGAGGACATCTGTTCTCGACGCCTCGGTAGTCTTGAAGGTTCGTTGAAGGACGTGTGCTCCAGAGTTGGCACCAGTTTTAACGCGTCTTTTCCGCTACTCCTACTCCCTAGGCGTAGTCCCAAAATCATGGAAGACGGCTTTCGTCCACCCGATCCCTAAAAAACGCGACCGCTCAGACCCGTCCAACTACCGGCCTATCGCCATCACCTCCTTGTTCTCCAAAACAGTGGAGTCTATTGTAAACTGCCAGTTCATAAGGTACCTTGAGGATCACCACCTGATTTGTGATCGCCATTACGGTTTTCGCCGTGGTCGATCAGCTGGTGATCTTCTGGTCTACCTAACTCATAGATGGGCGCAGGCAGTAGAGTCCAAGGGGGAAGCTCTGGCCGTTAGTTTGGACATTGCGAAGGCCTTCGATCGGGCTTGGCACAAAGCGCTTCTTTCGAAGCTCCCTTCCTATGGGCTTCCCGAGAAATTGTGCAATTGGATCGCCAGCTTTGTTGCAGATCGGAACATCAAGGTCGTTGTAGACGGTGCTAGCTCCGGTTACAAGCCTATTAATACTGATGTTCCAGAGGCTGCGTGCTATCGCCAACGCTGTTTCTTCTACATATCAATGATGTGTTGCAAACCCGTAACATTCATTGCTATGCAGATGACAGCACTGGTGATGCTCTGTACCTACACCGGCCGTGCCAATATTTCTCGGGAAAACGTCTTCGAGTACCGGGACAAACTTGTATCTGAAGTCGAGTCTTTGCTGAATAGAGTTTTGGATTGGGGGCGACTAAATCTAGTCCAGTTTAACCCTCAGAAGACACAAGTTTGCGCGTTAACCGCTAAAATTAGCCCCTTTGTCTTATCTCCTCAGTTTCAAGGCACTCCCCTTGTTGCATCAGCCGGTTTCGAAATCCTCGGCGTCGACATATCGAGTGACGTGCAGTTTCGTGGTCACTTGGACGAGAACGCCAAATTGGCTTCTAAAAAGCTTGGCGTGCTCAGCAGATCGGGACAGTATTTCATGCTGGCACCGCCTGCAACTTTACAAGGCGCAGGTTCGGCCGCGCATAATAGGCAAAAATACTGTTTCCATCTCTGGGCTGGAGCTGCCCAGTACCAGATCCTTCCACTTGACCGCATCCAGCGCAGAGTGGCTAGAATCCTCGACGACCGAGTGCTTTCCAATCGGCTCAATTCACTGGCGTTGCGAAGAGATCATCAAAGATTCCGATACCATCAACACTATCTGGATACTTGGCGGTCCACCACTGTACGTTTCAGAAGAAAATTTTTTTCGCGTACGACCTTTCTGTGGAATAGTTTACCACCGGCGATTTTTTCGATACGACCTGGGGGCGTATCGGTCCGGAAAGTAGTCACTTAACATCAGGTAAGCCGCATGCTCGTTTCTATAAAAAGAAAAAAAAAGAGAAACGCTGACCAAAGGAGTTTTTTTCATGAGTTCATGACAACGCACCGGTTGACACTTCGCGGCTCTCCAAGGCTGCTGTACGAGACTGCGGGTTTGAGGAAATTAACCACCCACCACAGCGCAGATCTAGCCCCTAGTGACTACTTTTTATTACCAAACTTAAAAAACCCTCGATGTAAACGATTTGCTGACAGTTCAAGTCCGCATTTTTCAGGCCAAGACGAATATTTTTTCAAGGGAGTAGAAAAGCTTTTTTCACGAACAAGTAAATGTATTTATTGATGTCAAGTGAGACTATATTGAAGATTAAAACTAGATTTTCATAATTTTACCTTCTTTCTAACATACACACCTATACCGGGAACACATTGAGCGCCTCTCCTATATACTGGTCTGCCTTGACTTCGTCAAAAAAAAAACCAAATAATGATCAAATAATATATATATTTTTTATTTACATGTCGAATAATTGCAAGATTTGAAACAAATTTGCATCTCACTAGCAAGTAGCTATGATCATTTTAAAACTAAAATCTATGTATATCTGTATTTACATTGCGTCGAATTCGTATTACAATTATATTTTTTAATTAATTTAAAATATTGCTACGTTCCGTATAACAAGATTGTCTTTTTAAAGACCTGCTCCCCGTGCATGAGGTTTTTTTTCGTATCGCAATCGAGTAACTTTGTATGATAAAATAATTACATTTACGTCTCCCGGTGGCGCTCGTCATATTTCCATACTATATTAGTCGAAGACGATACGAAAACAATAGCGTTAAAAACTTGTGCTTAGGGCACCGTTTACGTAAAATTTTGTCTAATTACAATTGCCTATTTTTTAATACAGACTTCCTTAATGTTTCACAAATAAATTATGTGAATTTTTCAAATATGAATAAAATAAAAAAATAAATGACTATGTATGTATTTCAGTTTTTTTAATAGCTTAAAACTAATCATCAATTCACCCCTAGTCATGTAGTCCTGGTATGGCAGTGTCTATTGCTGTCATTTTTTAAAAGTAATTAAATAATAATATTTCTCAGATTTTTTTAAGTTCCTAATAAAATATTTTAATCAATAATAATTGCATTGCAGAATATTTTACACATATATTTGTATTTCAGGGGCTAGAGAATTCTTTAATGTAAACATATTTAAAAATGATATTGTACAATCAAATATAAAAAGGCTACCCACGACTATACTGTTTCCCAATTTATTTTAATTATAAATTGTGAAAGAAAATTTCCTTTGCGATGGTCTTAACCATTAGTAGAGACATATAAACATTATTAATACATACAAATTAATAAAGTTTCAAAACATAACATCTATGTCGTTAAAACTATAATAGTTACATAAAAAAAGTTCTCGTCTGATAATTGCATTAAACGACTAATATGTAACAAATAAAAATATCAAAACCATTCAGTGTGTAAGTCACCAGTCAACACGTACAAAAGTAGTTTGTTTGACGGTAGATGTCCCTTAACCTGGGCCCCACTGTCTTGCGAAATTTTGACATCTGCTGTCCGATTCCATACTTAATTCATCATTAGTTCACATATTTTCCGAGAGACTTTTTCATGAAACATATCGGGCTGATTTCCTCTATTGAAACTGTTTTAAGTTTATTTTTTAAGAGCTATTATAAAAACCAAAAAGTGGACCTCTCACCATCTGAGTAAATTAATTTGTAACCCAGATTTATCAGGTTTTACTTTTTTTAATAGAAGGGTGACAAACGCGCACTCAGTCTACCTGATGGTAGGAGGATGCCATAGCCCAGAGTTATCCTACATTTATAATCGATTAAAAACCAAAGTTCTATTAGCGATAAAGATAACGACTAAGATGGAATGCCTCATTCATTCTTACCAACCATAGACCAAAAAGTCTCTGGTTCCCTTCACCACTATACGAAATGCAGCAGCCTTATGATGCTATTTCACGATGGTATTCTGTGAGAGCATAGTCCTTTCCCGGTCGAGCCTATCCATATGTCTTGAAGCTACAGCATGGCTCTACCACGTTACAAATTGTATAGAATTATTCATGTTTTTTTATACAATGATTTAATCTATTCAGGTGGTGTGAGTTCAACTACTTTGTCTCGGTACTTCAACTCTCAAAATGATTTCTATTCAATTGAACCGATAGACTAATCAAACAAACTACAGCTGTTGATAGCGAGATTAGTGAATAAAAATTGCTCGTTAAGGCAATATATTAGATATAAAAGATATAGAAGCCATTTTGTTTACTGGTAAAATACACATGTTTCATAAAAAAAATTATTGTGCTTTTGTTAGTTTAGTCAGGAACGTAAAAGTTATCAAAATTATATCTAAATAAACGCAATTGAGAATTTTCATTTCACGTTTATTTAAATAAATTTGTCATTTGAAATGTTCATAAGGATAATATTACGTTAACAACTATTTTAAATACCAAGGAAACTTTATTTTTCTGTGTATACAACTAATAGTTTTATAGTATCTCATGTATGAGATTACTATTAACTATTTAATATCAGATGTTGTACAATAGCATAAAATAAACATAAGCAGTAATGTTTTAATGCATTTTAAATTGGCAGATATATGAATTAAATTAATTTCTTTTTTGATGGTGAGAAAAGTATTCTCCACTCATTCTTTTAATATTAATTGATTTACTAAAATTACATTCTGTACATTGTATATAATATATAAATCTTATTTAGTAGGAATGGAATTATAATTAAATAATGTAGGCAATTGTCTACATTTTTAATAAATATTTACAAAATTTCTAGTATAGATTTTTTCGTACGTTTTGAGCTGACTTTGAGCTTTAAAAACTAAATAATATTGATAAGTTAATTGTAAACAAAATAAATGAATTTGCGGGGCCCCACGTAATTGCCATAAATACGAAAATGTACTTTAAAAAGAGCCCCAACTATTATTTACTAAACGGATATGATATGATTTCATTATTCACGACGTAAGCCCATTCTGTCTCATTTCTTTACTTTTTTAACAGCTTAAATGATCTTAAATTGAAAAAACAATTGGAAAACAAAACCTTGATACTGTTAAAATATTAAAAAAAAAAATAGGTAGTGAAATTATTGGTGTGTGCGACTGCAACACTAGGATAATAGGATTCACTAAGAGTCAAATAGATTTTTAATAATACGGGCGGCGTATTTATGAAATGAGCAGAAGAGAGACAGAGAGAGAGGATCGTGAAATTTCGCCACAACATCGCAACAAGAGTACCAGGCTAGCAGCAAATCATAAGAAACCCATATCTAATGCGTTGTAAAGCGCGGCGATATCTGAATGACTGGAGATCCTCCAGAATGGATAGTTCTTCGCCTTCGCTGCCGCTTCCTCATCCTGGCCGTCGCCAATCACAACGTACGTACAACGGTCACCGAAGCGCTGCTTTATTTTCTCGAAGCATGTTTCTTTACCTGATTGACAATAAGATTTATTTTTAAGTTTATCAATATGCAGCAAGTTAGGAAAAACATGTAATAAAAACTAATTATATAGATTTACAATAATAACGTTTAGAAACCTATTAGGAAAAGTGAGACATTGAAAGTGAGATATTGATAGCTTATTTATTAGTAATTTAGGTGAAAAAAGGACCGATTGTATGACATATTTCTTGTTATCGTCAAAAAAATATAATCGTATATTATTGTTTTTTTTTTTAAATAATTATCTCAAAAGACAAAGTAGTGTATTTTCTCTCAGTCGAATGAAAATGATTCAGATGATGAATCGAAACTAAAATTCTTCAGAAACACTTGAAACTACAAGGTTTATAGATGAGAATTAAAGATATATAAGCTGAGAAGTCAATCGACGGATTCAATTCGGCTAGGCAGCATTCGGGAAATTACGACACATCTTCTCGTGAGGTATACCTCAAACTCTGAAAACTAGATTGTATAACCAGTGCGTGTTGCCAGTGATAACCTGTGGAAATGAGATGTGGTCCTTCACTGCTGGTCGTGTGAGGACGCTCAAGGTGACTCAGCGAGCTATGGAGAGGGCTATGCTCGGGGTTTCTTTGCATGATAAACTCAGAAATGATTATATCCACAGTAGAACCAGAGTGACTGACATAGCCCAACGGATTAGTAAGCTGAAGTGGCAATGGGCCGGCCATATAGCTCTAAGAACCGATAACCGATGGGGAAAAAAGGTTCTCGAGCAGCAGCCTCGACCCCCACTAGATGGAGTGACGACCTGGTAAGACATGCAGGAAGTCGATGGATGCAGGTGTCTCAGGACCATGCTTTGTGGAATATCTTGAGGGAGGTCTATGTTCAGCAGTGGACTTCTGAAGCGCTGTAATGATGATGATGATGATGATGATTATTAAAGAACATGTTTTTTATTTTTGAAATACGAATTTTTCTAGACTCAGTTTCTGTGCATTTCGTAAATATAGTTTTGTAAGTGGATAATTAAGAAAGTCAAACAAAAATTAAGTGTTAAGTTTCTTACTGCGAGAAGTTACTACGATCTCGACACAATTAGAGGGTTTATTAGAAAGTATTAACAGTTAGATTTCATTATTTAATATTAACAAACCTGTTTTGGTTGCAGAGTAGATATTTTCAATGGGAAACACTCCTCCAAGTCCGAATAGTAGGACTTTAGCTAATGCAGGAACTAGCTGTGTAGTTGTTACCAGAACATTAACACAGTTCTCTCTGGAAGAAATAAGTAGACAATTATATACTTACCCATTTTAAGCAAATGCTACAACATGTCAAAATAGTTATTTTGGAATAAGCTTTTTGGCATTAATTTGATTGGATTGTTTGTTGATTGGATCGGGGGCGACAACACGCGTGTTTGAGTTTTAATTAATTATAAAACGTAAAATAAAGGTATAAAATCAAGGATCTTAAAAGCTTGGCAATTGAACATAATTTATTTACACATTTTCATAATACAAATAATCCCAGGCTATATTGATTTCCTTTATTCAATACCAGGCTATATTGATTTAGTTTATTCAATCCCAGGCTACATTGATTTCCTTTATTCAATCCCAGGATATATTGATTTCTTTTATTCAATCCCAGGCTATATTGATTTCCTTTATTCAATCCCAGGCTATATTGATTTCTTTTATTCAATCCCAGGCTATATTGAATTCCTTTATTCAATCCCAGGCTATATTGATTTCTTTTATTCAATCCCAGGCTATATTGATTTCCTTTATTCAATCCCAGGCTATATTGATTTCTTTTATTCAATCCCAGGCTATATTGATTTCTTTTATTCAATCCCAGGCTATATTGATTTCTTTTATTCAATCCCAGGCTATATTGATTTCCTTTATTCAATCCCAGGCTATATTGATTTCTTTTATTCAATCCCAGGCTATATTGATTTCCTTTATTCAATCCCAGGCTATATTGATTTCTTTTATTCAATCCCAGGCTATATTGATTTCCTTTATTCAATCCCAGGCTATATTGATTTCTTTTATTCAATCCCAGGCTATATTGATTTCCTTTATTCAATCCCAGGCTATTTCGAAAGTTACAAATACTTCCTAGGTGAGCTTGAAGTTGTCTGGAACAGTACACTGACCTCCGGAGTATCACTCATGGTCTAAACCAGCTGACTGTCAATATAATCTCAGTATAATTCTGAGGATAACTCTTTAAAAATTCAACCTTGTCAAAGTAATGTGTAGTAGTTTTCAATGTGGTAGAGCCACGCTTCAGCTATATTATGGTTGTAGCACAAAAGGGTGGGCTTGATCAGGGAAGGACCACACTCTCACAGAATAGCAGCGTAAAATAGCAGCTTGATGCTGCTGTGTTTCGTATGGTGAGTGTAGAGAACCAGAGACCCGTTTTATTGGAATCGAGGCATTCCATCTTAATCCTCAGGGGTGACAACGCATCTGCATTTTGATTCTTAATCAAGGTTAAAAGATGTCTATGGGCCACAGCATACACTTACCATCAGGTGAACTGTGTGCTCGTTTGTCATCCTAATTCTATTAAAAAAAACTAAATAAATCACACAAAAGTGGTTTTATACTACCTATGTTAATAACATCTATGGCAAATGATCAGCTACATATTTAGTTCCCCAATTAATAAACAACTTACCCTCTAATTTACGTAATAATATTACACGAGAAAATATTAAAAGAATATTACTTCCTACTTAACACTGATGGTGACATTTAGAAATGAACCTACCAAGTGTCTAGTTGATTAATTACCTAAAGCCCGATTTGAAACTATTTGTGACACAATGTAATATTATGTATAATATTCTGTTTTTCTTTATCACACTTGGAAATATCAATGTAGATGATAACATTATTTACAAATCTTTGTGGTTTATAGGTGCTATTTTACTCATTTTTGTATTCAACTTCGAAATGATAAATAAGTTAAAAACAAAAAAAAAAATAGTAGTGTAGCATCGCGAATAATATTGCATGTTACCATTTTGGTATTATTATTATATTTGATATAAAGAACATACAACGCAATTCGAAAACAATCTGTTATAAAATTTCGCTACTTCGTATTTAAATTGGACTGTTCACTTTGTTTAGAAGGCAGATTAGAGATTAAAATACGAGAGAACCTTTGAAACTGCTCCCTGTCATAATCCAGGATATGACAAATTATGCCAGTTGGGCATGAGATATTTCTGATATTTTCAGTATTTTTTTTTTTGATTTCCTATCAACTTACTAAACCTAATTTTAAAATAAAAACTAGATTATAAAATCCCTAGTGTTTGGTAATAATTATTGTGGTAATAATTTTCTTTTCACATTTGCTAATGTTGTTTATTTGATATGTACCTGGAGTTGATCATATTTAGACACTTGCAAGCCAATGTCAGCCAATTGTCCGTAGCTTGCTCGAGTTCAGCACGGAGCTGAAGCCACTGTTCTCTTTTCGCTGGTCCCAACAATCCACCCACGCTATAAAAAATACGGTATTTATTTCTGATTTCATTCTTTTATATCAAAGTTTGATCCATATTACTTATTATCTGTTTTGAAAATACACATAAGTCTGTTATCCTTGGATAGGTTTCAATATCTGTTTTGTAGATGTACATCTGTTACTAGTTTTGATGTTTAAATTTTTCCCTGTCATTACTTATGTAAAATATTTATGTAAATAAACAAGCACCGATACAAAAACAGTATGTAGTTCTCAATATAGTTGTTGAAGCAGTTGCAATAGCATTGTGGTCGGTCACTACACTAGAGTTTAGGAAGTTTTTAAAGCAACTAAAATGAAATTATTTTACAATGTATTATTTTTTCTTAATTAACTAAATAATATAGTAAAAAAAGTAGGTAAATTGATCATCGACAACAGAAAAGTAAAAAAAAAAATAAAATTAAAAAATTAACACAATCTTTACTATGTGTCAATGTATAAATGATCTAGACTCAAATTTTGACTTTGTGGAGTTCGAGTTTAAACTTTAATTACTTCTGAACAGTCTCATTTACATGTAAGCCTCAGAGCTTGTAATATTATAATTTTATACATAGTACTTGTAGATTTAATTATTAACCTCAATGTCAAAAAAATTGCACTAGTAAGTTATTCTTCTTGCATTTTAAATTAACGTAGATTATAGTTAAACTTCATTAATAATTTTACCTATTTCTGTAATTATTGTATGTGTCTTTGATTTTTCTATATCGAAACGCGAGTTTCCTCATCCAGTCTACGCCGCCTCGCATACCAGGCGCGCATAAACCAGCACTGGTGGCGGCGCTTGCGTGAAAGCCATCTGAGGCGAAATTATACGCAGATAGGTCTTGACCGTTGTCATCTGCCGCCACAGCATCTATGTGTTCCTGATCACAGTCCTGCACATATACAAAACACGGTTTTAAAAAATGATTATAAAATCAATAAAGTTTAGCTAACCTAACTGTCCAATCAATGAACGCTATAAAACTATAAAAATGAAGTGAAACACACATCATGACAGTTTTCTACGCTACAGGCGGGTTAGCAACTGCAATTTTTTATATTTAGTTGTAAATAAAACCACAATACACACAAAGTCACATACAAAAACAAGCTTACCTCAACATCATTGAAAAAGAAATGTGTATCAGCCAGACTAAAAATCATCTCTTCCATTCTAAAACCCAACTGAACTATTTGCTGTGTGTCCTGTAATACAAAGAGACATTCATTGTTATAATATCACATACAAACTCTGCTTAACAACATATGCAAGAGATAGTTGCAAAAAATATTTATGGGCCATATACATAATTTTAGTTTAGTTTACGACTGGCTATTTTCCGCAACTCCACGTTTAATAAGCACGTATTTTGCGTGTGGGCAGGAATGTATAATATAAAATGTATGTGAGTTTTCACTTCATCCTTTAATTTTGGCTATTATTTCATTATATAAAATTGCTAAACCCAGGTTTCACTATAAATCTTGTGTAAGAGGTTAATATCCAGCGGACTATTTGGTTGATATACTACTGTACTTACTGATGGTATTTTATTGCAATATTTTTTCAAATAAATAATTTTATTACAAACTATGCCCAAAATAAGTAGTTGGAATTTATTTTATATCTAAGACTTAATACTGGTTAACAATCAAAAAATTTAAATAATCAACAAGGCTAATGGTTGAAATAGTAATTAAAAAATACCCGACTACCTCAAATGTTTGGTGAATAGAGAAAATTTTTATACCCTATGTTACACAGTTTTGTGTTAAGCAAACAATCCACCTGATGCGAAGTGGTTGCTGTAGCCCATAGACATCTACATCTATCCTCTACTACAAACCAAAATGCAGATGAATTGTCACATGTGAGGACTAAGATGGAATGCCTTGTTTCCAGTAAAATAGGTCTCAGGTGCTCTACACTCACCATACAAAACACGTGAGCATGGAGTCGCTATTTTGGATATTCTGTGAGAGCATGGTCCTTCCCCGGTCGAGCTGACTCATTCACGCTATAACTATACTATTAATACAGCTGCAGCATGACTCTACCACATAAAAAGTTTTTAACAACAATCCAACTTGACTTCCTTCTTACATAAGCATTCACATTTAGTTGGAATTATGAACAGAAATACATTAATATAATAAAATTATAAATATTAAATACATTATGTAATTCTAATTTAATATGTCAGTTAAATTTAACCTACCTTGTTGTACTTTGTAGCATAAGTTCCAGTGAGTAGAGAGTGGAATATGATTATAGTTTCATCTAGGTCCCAGATAAAGACTCTTTCTGTAGATGGTTCTGGTACATGTTGTGCGGGAGATGACGATGTATTACGTCTTCCTCTGCCTCTTGATCTGCTCGCTGTGCTCTCACTGAAATTCAAAGTACTTAATAAGTGATGATATTAATATATGTAATAACAAGTACCAACAGAATCATTATTTTAGTTTCAGGTAAAAATCTATGTTCTTGAATAAATTGTTTTATGGCTATAAATAATTATTCTAATACCCAATGTTTCAAGTGTTTTGGGTAAAAATGGTAAACATTTGTAATGGGCGATTGAACTGTTCAATATACTGCTTTTCTATCTATAATATAAACATACTTTTTATGCTTAAGAGGATTGAAGTGTTCAATATACTGCTTTTCTATCTATAATATAAACATACTTTTTATGCTTAAGAGGATTGAAGTGTTCAATATACTGCTTTTCTATCTATAATATAAACATACTTTTTATGCTTAAGAGGATTGAAGTGTTCAATATACTGCTTTTCTATCTATAATATAAACATACTTTTTATGCTTAAGAGGATTGAAGTGTTCAATATACTGCTTTTCTATCTATAATATAAACATACTTTTTATGCTTAAGAGTCCGTCTGGGTAGTGTAATAACAGAGCTTGCACTACTGTGTCCTGAAGGCATAGTGAGCCAGTGCAGGCTGTAAAGCATTCCAACTTTTTCCTCTAAATGTGACAATATATCTAAAGTTTTCTTTTATTAAATTTGGTTTAGCCAGCTACCATTAGGTGGATTGTGTGTCATTTTAATTTTATAGAAAAACAGTTAAATAAACAAAAGTCAAGAAAACAATCTTTAATATCTTACCCTGAATTCTCTCTGCATCTTCTACTAGCAGCATGTACTTCATTTTTTATTGGTGACAGTGGACTTGCATCATTTAATGATGGTACCATAGAGGATGGTGATTCTGAAATAAATTTGTAACCATGTTTACAATGTGATTTATTGAAATAATAATTTTCTTAATACAGTACTTTTATACAGTTCCATCTAACTTGAGTTCCTACAACATATTCTCATAATAATCAACTTTCTTTCTTTGTTTGTCAGCTCATAACAGGTCATAACTGGAAATAAGCTTTTATCTTCAATAATACAGAATGGATTAGAGTACGCTTGACAGGCGTATAGGTAATTGATAGAATCAGGCATTACATTGCGGAAATCCATTATAGTAAAAATATTAATTATTTTGCAACCTTCCGCTAACTAAATAAAATGATGTATCTTACCTGGATTGAAGAGCACCTCCCGCCCTCCCTCAATTGCATGCACTAACTCCGTCACCACTAGTCCCAGCACCACTACTTCCAACACCACTATTCCACATAAGACACACCATTGACAATAATATGGCTAAGAATCTTAGCGGTCAGCGGTAGAGTCTACATTACCTGAAGATGCCTCGTGTAGATGCGAAACACGTGTCGTATTATCGTCGATGGTGTGTCTTACCTGGAATAGTGGTGTTGGAAGTAGTGGTGCCAGGAGTAGTTGTGTTGGCAGTAGTGGTGCTGGGACTAGTGGTGACGGAGTTAGTGCATGCAATTGAGGGAGGGCGGGAGGTGCTCTTCAGTCCAGGTCACATCATTTTATTTAGTTAGTGGAAGGTTGCAAAATAATTCATATTTTTATTAGGCTTATAGGTGATCACTATAATAGATGTCTTGCAGTTTTGACATCGCTTCCATTCACCATTTTGTCTTTTAGACCTGGCATTTACAATACATAGTTCTAAAATACACTTATATGACACACTATAAACTTTTTTACCGTCATCGCTATCAGAGTCTGGCCAGTAATCAGAATTGTCATCTACACTGTCGTTATGTAGTTCTGGATTGGTATCATTAAGTTTTCTACGTTTAATGGGACAAACATTTTCTACTTCTTTCTTCATTATGAACTTTTAATCACCAAATAAATTATAAAGGAAGATCATTTAATAATAAGAAACACTTCTTGTTCACACTATAAATACCGCAAAAAGTATTTATTTAAACACTAAAAACTATATCTCAACTTTATCACTTTATGTTTACAATTTTAATAACTTTTGTTGCTTTATCAACCAATAACAACCAACAACCCAACAAGTTTTCCTCGAGTAATGACAACTCATTGACAACTGCGCTGTGTAACCAGATTTTATTGAACAAATTTACTAAACAGAGCAGCGAAAATCTACTAGATTCTACAAAATAACAACAGTTTTCTACCCAATATCTAATAAAACATTAAAATACGATTTTTAAAAGGAGTAATATAACATATTTTAATTTATAATGTATATTTAGATTATATATAAAAACATCAATTATTTGTATTTTTGTGGATACAAACAAAAGAATAAAGTAACCTCTGAGGTATCAGTAAATCTGGTCATAATCTTTTTATTTTGCTATATTTATGAGCACTTCCAAAAAAGCCACTCTGCTCAAGATTTAGCAATTAGTTATTTTTCAATGAGCACTAAATGTGTCGTGTTCGATCCTGATAACTATTTAAAAATAAAGATTTTGATCCTATCATGCACGATAATTTCGATTATATTATCGTTTAATAATTAATAATCACAACACACTTCTTTAACTTTCGGTTTTTCAAATGAAAATATTATCTATCATTAGCCCTAGAAAGAAATATGGTAATAACTAACATTTTTTATTTAAGACCTTAATAGTAAAATAAAAGATACGTTTTATTATAAAACAAAATGGATACAATATAATTGTAGTGGTAATTTTCGTTTTATAAATATACATTTCATATAGATCTGCGAATGGGATCCCCTATGTGCCAGTAAAACTACTGTGATGAACAGACTCTATAATTAAATACTATGATTACTGACCTCTATAATTATTGGAGGTCAGTGTAATCTACCAAAAGCTACTAAAATACGGAATATATATTAGTAACTTTTGGTAACTTATCTATCAAGATATATTTTTGAAAGGCCTGGGTTTGAAATCTACAAAAGAAGTAAAAATCTATTAAATCTGGTCTCCTCTCATTTCTGAAAGTTTTTCAAACCTCTCTCAAAACCCTGTCATTATAATATAAGCCTTATATTTTTTATACGTGGTAGAGCCATGCTGCAGTTATATTAGTAGTGTAGTTGTAGCACGAATGGGTCGGCTCGACTGGGGAAGGACCACGCTCTCACAGAATACCAGCGTAAAATAGTAGCTTAATGCTGCTGTGTTTCGTATGGTGAGTGTAGAGAACCGCAGACCCTTTTTACTGGAAACGAGGCATTCCATCTTAGTCCTCGCGGGTGACAACGCATCTGCATTTTGATTTGTAATCGAGGATAGATGTAGTTGTCTATGGGCCGCAGCAACCATTTACTATCAGATGGACTGTGTGCTTGCTTGTCACCCTATAGAAAAAAAAAATAAACTGGACAAACCTGATAAACCTCCACCAAGGTGATATGATGTATGACCGGCGCTTCCACTGCTACTAGGCGAGCTTACGTATGGAGAGTAACTAGGGGCAGCATAATATCCGCCATATTGTGCAACGCTATGATCAGCATACCCTGATGCGTAGCTGCTGTAGTCCTGATGACAGTAAAATAAATTATATTTTAATATGACTATTCATTTGGGTTTTTCAAAATACACAAAACCATTTAAGTTTGTGAAATAAATTAACTTTTTAGTATCTATCTATTACACGATCAAAATTTTGAATTGTAGGTAAATTTTATCATAAATATAACAGTAACACGCCGTTTTACATTAGGTACATGGAATATAGAGGTAAGGAGGACAATCTCCAATAGGAGGATAGTTGAAAATGTGTCCATCCATAAGGAGTAAATAACAGTTCAAAAACTCTCCACAACAGCGCTTGAGTAGCTACAGGGATAAATCATAAGGATAAACCGTACCGTAAATACGTTGAGAGTGATTTTGAAAATAAAAATTTTGAAAGCAATAAAATAATTATTGTAAAAAAATTATGGTGAAAGTCTGTGCAATAAAAAAATATAAAAAGTTCTTTAAAATTGAGTGCAGCATTGAGTGAGATGGCGTCTTACTGAATAAAATCATAATCATAATCTTTATTGCAATCAAATGGTAACAATAGATGTGAATGTGATGTTTTGTAAAAACAGTCCGCATTTGAACCCAGTTTGGGCTTAGCAATTATAATAATATTAAATTACCGTATTAAATATTATTTTTATTAAACTACTATATTAGATTTAATTAATAGGTTACATTATTAGATTATATTATTTGAACATTCTGTAAATTAAATTCAATTAGTAATCACAATTTCAAGTAAAAAAACAATAATAATAATTATTATTATTATTTAAAAAAGAAAATTAAGTAAAAAAAATCAATTAAGTTAGACAGGTAGGCCGAAGTTGTCCACAAAAATTAAATAATATTTATATCAAAATATTCGTTTAAATTATAGAAACATTTTTCAATAAAATATAAAATGTTTAGAGATTTCGCTTTTATTTATACCAAACAGTATATCAAATATCCTAAGAAATTATTACGTAAGTACCTGTTGTGCATTAGGGAAGGACTGCGCCAAACCGCCGTTATACGATGAATACGCGTAAGGTGAGGGCTGCGTCCCGAAACCAGAGCTCGGTACCGTACCGACGCTGCTGACGCCGTAAGCACTCAGATACGTCGGTGTGGCTTTACATGACGACCTGTGTAACAATTAATAAATATATTATTTATTTTTACTTGTACTCCCTAACAGAGGTAGCCTTATTCCATATAGGACTGTTTATGGGTTGATCATTGAGGCGAAAGATAAGGCATTTAATTGCATACAGAGGATGAATTCTAGCTTCAATTGTTTATTTTCTTTCATTTCTCAGATTTGAACGATGTTTTCTTTTACTGCTGAACACGTGGCATATGAGCACTTTAACTACCTCGTCGGTCTATGGCCGTCAGCTCAACTGCTGATCATGTGGCCCCGGGATTGATTTGAAAGTACACAAAATAGGCATCAAATTACTGAAGGAGTAATTAAAATATCCTTCTTATGGTATGTCTTTATTATACTGTGTTATGGTCATGCTCTACATGCGCCCGTGTTTTTACCCCATGTGTTTTAAATATGTTGTAAGGTGATTTGTTTTACATAAGAACGAAATAATAATTTTTTTGATTAAACATGGTCCGAGTCGCCATCGTAGTCAGGAATTGGGGAAGAAAGGTTCTCGAGTGGCAGCCCCGTACTAGTAGACGAAGTGTAGGATGTCCTCCCACCCCCACTAGATGGAGTAACGAATTGTTAAGACATGCAGGAAGTCGATGGATACAGGAGGCTCAGGACCGTATTCTGTGCCTATGTTCAATGGTGGACGTGTGAAGGGCTGTAATGAGAAAGCACTTTCGACTCTACCTTAGGGAACGGATAGAAAATTTGGACAGTCACGTCCAATACAAGCATTTTAAGCTTACTACCGTGTGGTTCGGGTATTTTGCATAGCATCCATTCATCAGGTCATTTCATTTATTTTAACAATTTAAATATTAATTATAGGTAATAAAAAAGCTGGAGGTAGCCCAGGTTAATCAAGTTACGAAAAAAAGTCACACTGGGTTTCTTGCTGGTTCTTCCCAGGATAGACGTTTTATTCGAACCAGTGATAAAATAAAAAAATTATTTTCACTTGTAATCTATATAGAATAATATTCTATTCTAGCTCTACATCAGTACCTTCAACCTAACCAGTAACCAGTCACAACGTGACCGTAAGTGCTGTAAAACACCCGAAACGTCGAGAGTTAAAAAGGTAAAATTAGACGCAATAAAATACGTATAATTAGTTTACTTTAATCATTAGGTCTATATCCAACAGTGAACTTACAAACAGTGATGGCAGAGTAGGAGAATCCATCACATCTTTTCATCCCGTGAGTGTTGAAAGCTTGAGAGGCTTTTGGTGGGAAATTTCATAAATCTTATAGATTCCGATAGATGGCAGTATAATCAACTCGTTTACGCCAGACTTAAAATATTGAAACTGACGATGCCAAGAGGAAGTACTAGCGGTTAAGGCAGTAAGTCAGACTTCCTTTGGCACCAGAGGGCGAAGAAGAAGAATTTAAGAAGACTGTTTACGTGTGTTGTTTATTATACTGCCAAGTAGAGACAATAGTAGTAATCGGTTCACATGGTAATTTTTAAAGTTTCTACTTGGAAGTGTATCTAATAAAACACAAGTGGTCGCCTATTGGTCGAAAATCAAACGTAATTTATAAAATTTTAAGGTTTGTTGTTATTGAAATACGAACATTTAAAAACAAAGATTTTGTTGGAATTTTTTTTAATTTCTTTGTCGATAATCTCTACCCTGTACCACTGTTTGATCATAGGTTATTAAGTGTTTGACTTTGGCCTTAGTTAGAGCATTAGAGTGATAACTTACTCTGAGAAATCGGCAGTATGAATTCTACAAACGACATAATTTGTCCAAGTGACAATCATGTGTTTGACGAAGGCAGTATGATCGTCAAAAATGTATGTTTTATTTATTTTAATTTCCTCACTCCTTCTCCATACAAACTGCAACTATGCAAAATCTCACAGTAATACGGTAGTTACTTAACACGTAGATATGGTGACAAATCTTTTGTCCAACTTCTACAGTGGTACAGTTCTACTGTTAACCAACAAAATCACAGAACCTCACATACCTGATGTAACACTTATGTAATGTTATCAAAAGTAAGGTAGGACGCAGTGGCGTGCAGATACACGGGGACCTAAAACACTATCCAACACAACTATTGCACTAATAGGCTCTGAGATTTGAATCTATATCAGCAACGTACTATGACAACTAAGAATGCATACGTTTAAAAAGGTACATACCTATTATTAGTGTTGTGCGGTGGTGGGTAGGCAGCGTAAGGCTGGTTGTACAATGTAGAGCTGACGTAAGATGAGGCCGCACCTCCGCCGCCATACTGCTGCATACTGTGGACAGTGTTCAGTATTTACATAGTTCCAATAGTTTTTTATATATAAATATTTTGAGTACCCGACTACGGCAAAGAAAAATGATGATTATAATCGTAGGCAAGCTATGTTTGACATACAATCAAGAAATAAAAAGAAATTAGACTAGTTAATTTAATTAAATATAATTGAAACAGATATCATTAAGCTTACTCCTAAAATTGTAATCGAATTTCATTAGGTTTTAGGTTTGACTGACTTTGTATCGAACCTGATTTTAAAAGCTTATTCCTGACTAATTCGAATCGAGAAATACGATCGAGTTATGATCAAGCGTTATCATTATTATTAGCGCCGTCAGGCACATCAGGATATTTTTTATTTAGAGATTTAATAAATTAAAAATTCACTTGAAACATTTTTTAATACATAAATAGAAGAAATAGAAAAGCATTGTATTTCTTTTGATTACAAGCGCTATCTAGTGGCGGAAAGCTGATAACTTCAGTTTTGATAATTGATAATTCCAATTTGAACCACCGTTCGATTGTGCGCTAGCTACGGTTTCGGGTGAACAAAAATACTTTGAGTTCGAATAAAAATACGTTTGATTCAGAACTTGATTCTGTCGGAAGTAGATCAGCAGTTTTCGTATAGCCGTGGTCACACGCAAGATGAGGTAGTGTTGACATTATAAACTGTGTGGGCGTGGTTCATTAAAATATTATAACTTTTAGCTGGACCATACAACATGAGCATGACGCGTCTCCCAAAATGGCCTGTAATTTGTTGATACAGTTTATATAAAATGTTCAAACCAACAATGTATATAAAAGCGCTACGTATACTTTAAATGTTCCAACATGTTCTACTTGTTAAACCATGTTCTACTCAACATATTGTAAGAATACGCACGCACGGACACGAAAAGTGTATCTTCATAAATTGCAACTTGCATCCACAAAATCTTAGGTTTTAGGTGCAGGTTTTAGGTGCATATTATATGTGTGTGATGGCGTGTAAAGAAGTAGGGCGACAAATGAGCACACAGTTCACCTGATGGTAAGTGGATGCTATGGCCCATAGACTTCTACATCTAGCTTCGATTAAGGATCAAAATGCAGCCTACGTTGTTAGTCCTGAGGTCCCAGATGAAATGTCTCGCCTCCAGTAAAAGAGATAACCGGTTCTCTAAATTCACAATACGAAACACAGCAGTATTGAGCTTCTATTCTACGCCGGTGTTATGAGAGAGAGAGTGGCCGGTCGAGCTGACCCATTCGTGCTAGAATCATAATGTAGCTGTAGCATGGCCTTACTACGTGAAGTTCTTTACTGGTCTGAGAGAATAATTCATATATGAAAAAACTATATACTATAACAAAAAGCACTACACTCTATTATGAAGAACCAGAATTTATCAAAACAGGCACGTATGGTAATTCATAATGCTGTGTTAGTCCCTACTTTAATGTATGGTAGTGAAAGCTGGGTGTGGCAGAAGAAGCACGAAAGTAAAATAAATGCTGTAGAAATGCGGTCTTTAAGGAATATGCTAGGGTGTAATCTGAATGACAGGGTGAGAAATTGCGTGATAAGAGATAAATGTGGTATGCAAGATGATGTTGTGACCAGGATTAAGAAAGGAATGCTTCGGTGGTTTGGTCACGTAGAAAGAATGAATGAAGAAAGAGTGACAAAGCAAATTTATATGGCAGATGTGAATGGCCGAGTCGGGAAGGGACGCCCTAGGAAAAAGTTTATCGACCAAATTGGCGATATTTTGAAAATGGGCCACGTTAGAAGTACCCTTAACCGACGAGCATGTATGCGTAGATATATGGATGTAAAGGAGGCGAAAGAGGTATGTCAGGATCGTGCCAAATGGAAGTCCGTAGTCTCTGCCTACCCCTCTGGGTGACAGGCGTGAGTGCTTATGTTATAACAAAAAATTAAAATATGAAATAATAATAAATAACATAACCATTGATCTTATTTATAATATCCAAAGTTACGGTTTAACATGGTTCTTAAGTGAAAAATAAGTTTCCTATACATATACACTTTTAATACCACTTACCAATCTGGATACGAAATTTATTTGTGTTTTTTGCACAAAAAATCTGGAAGCCGAAAAAACGCACAGATAAGCTTAATTTTATGACGTAAAGTTTTAGCTTAACAGCCATTTAATAAGATTATTCCAGTCCACTTATTTTATAATTAGGGCTTTATACAGCATTCTGTTAACGCGGAAGTCCGGTCTTTTTAATTTTGGACGTGGGTCTTTGTAAGGCTTCACACAAATCCCATAAAGAGCGTTGACCTTTATACGTATTCGGGCATTACACTGCGGCATCTATTTGCATGGCGTGATATTTAGAACAATTAGGTTCACGATATTTTAGGTATACCACTGTGAATAATCCTTGTTAATTTATTTCCGACTTCAATCGATAAGCGAAAGGATTTTAATAAATCGATTTTAATATGACATTACCTATATTCACAATAGTTATTTGATTTGATATATATTGACATTACCTATATTCACAATAATTTTGACTCTTCACTCTATTGTGAAGAGTTAAAATGTGTCGAAAAAGGCACGTATGGCAATTCACAATGCTGTGTTGGTCCCTACTTTAAAGTATGGTAGTGAAAGTTGGGTGTGGCAGAAGAAGCACGAGAGTAGAATGAACGCAGTAGAAATGCGGTCATTCTGTTAGGGCTGAATCTGAATGACAGGGTGAGAAATTGTGTGATAAGAGAAGAGTGTGGTTTGCAAGATGATGTTGTGACCAGGATTAAGAAAGGAATGCTTCGGTGGTTTGGTCATGTGGAAAGAATGAATGAGGAAAGAGTGACAAAGAAAATTTATGTTGCAGAAGTGAATGGCAGAGTCGGAAAGGGACGTCCTAGGCGAAAATTTATCGACCAAATTGGCGATTTATTGGAAACGGGCCAAATTAGGAGTACCCTTAACCGACGAGCATGTATGCGTAGGTGTATGGATGTGAAGGAGGCGAGAGAGGTGTGTCAGGATCGTGCCAAATGGAAATCTGTAGTCTCTGCCTACCCCTCTGGGTGACAGGCGTGAGTGTTTATGTTATGTTTATGTTATTACCTATATTCTTTTACGTGGTAGTTTTATGGTGGTAACACGAATATGTCGGCTCGACCGGAGAAAGACTACGCTGGCACTGAATACCAGAAAAATAGAAGCTTAATGCTGCTGTGTTTCGTATGATAAGAGTAGAAAACCGGAGACTCTTTTTACTGGAAACGAGGCATTCAATATTAGTCCTTAGCGGTGAAAATGAATCTATTAATTGAGGATAGATGTAGATGTCTAGAGGCCACAACATCTGCTAACTGATCACTGTGCGCTTGTTTGTCATCTTTATTCTATAAAAAAGATTGATTTTGACAAATGAGCTAAATTTTCTATTTTCCACATGAATGAAAGATGAATTCGCACATGTCATGTTAAATGTATGTTTATTTTGGCGAAATTATCTATTGATTTATATAAAAAAGACAAACGAGATTTAATGTTACAATTTACAAAAACAATTAAGATTAATATTGTGACAGTTAATAAAATCACATACAATATTATATGTGTTATTTTATGTACCTACTCATAACGCGGCTCATAGCCATACGGCTTTAATATAATTACGATAATGTAATATTTAACTATGTAGTGCCTATCACGATACATATATCGATAACATATCGATAATATATCGATAATATATCGATATATTATCGATAATATATCGTCTCGTGGGCGTCGTAAGAGGCAACTCAGGGCAATTTTTTGAATTGAAACAGGGGATGGCGCTGGAATTTTTAATAACTACTCAAAATAATAAAAAAATGCGGTTGCCATGCTAAGAGTGGCAACTATGGCAAAATTGCTATGAAGCAATCTATGTGGGAAGCCAGTGTTCAGCAGTGGACTTTTAATGGCTGTAATGGATGGATAAATGGTAGCTCAGATGATTAACGCTCGCTGTAAATTTCACAGTACGCAAGCAAACCGGGTTCAATCCCCGCCGGCACCAATGAAATTGTTAATTGCAATTTTAAGCTGGCTTACCACGTGCTCGGCGGTGAAGGAAAACATCGTGAAGAACCTGCATGTTTGAGTAATAAGAAAAAATATTTTGAAGACATGTGAAGTTTGCCAACACGCATTGGGGCAGCGCGGCGGACGCTTCCTTGCTCTATAACCTCTCAAAAATGAGTGGAGGCCTGTGCCCAGCAGTGGGACGTATATAGGCTGTAACTTTATGGATAGATGGATGAACGTTTAATCTATATGAAGAAAACAGTTCAGTTCTGTAATGTTATAGCCTTTATGCGACTGTTGCCGACAGGTCTCTCTTCATTTCTGAGAGGGTAAGAAATAACGCCGCGCTGCGTAAGGGTTGACGAACTTTATCATATCCCGTAAATATTTTATTTCTCAGACATGAAGGTTTTCTCACGATGTTTTCCTACATTAACGATCATCGGGGACCTAGGTTTCTCTCGTTCTGTTATCATTACAGTAAACTTTTATGGACGAATCACACGGTCAGTTCAACTGAACATTCCAACAACTGATCACTTTAAACTAAAACTGTTGATGTTATTTAAAATATCGGATTTTAGATATATCGATAAACAAACATATATATAAAACTCCGATATTCATATATTTATAATTATGGATATATCGAAAATCCAATATTTTTAAAAATATCAACATTCCTAGTTTGAACTGATTAGTTGAACTGACTGTGTATGGCGACCATAAGAGTTTACTGTAATGATAACAGAATGGAGAAACTGAGCTTTCATACGATTCTCAAAGTTTAGTCCAATGAAAGATATTTTTAGCTGGATTTCCGCTATCAGTCGGTCTAGGAAAGAAAGTTATACTCCCCCAGAAGACCCCCAGATATAAGATAATTAATAAAATCAGGCTTTACTTTATGGAAATCCATTATATTAAAGTTGGTAAGAATTAATTCGCCCACATCCGCTCAATGAAATAAAACGATGTAATCACTTAGAGGTCAGCCGCCGCAGAGTCACCTGAGGATGCCTCGTGTAGAGGCGAAACAAGTGTCGTATTATCGTAGATGGTGTCTCTTTCCTAGTGTAGTGGTGTTGGGAGTAGTGGTGCTGGGATTTGTGGTGACGGGATTAGTTCACGCAATTGAGGGAGGGCGGGAGGTGCTCTTTAAACTAATAAATACATAAAACCCTAGATATAAAACTCACCTATTATAATACTGGTAGGACAGCGTGGACTGATCGTAGGGCAGCGTTTCGCCGTATAAAGCCACGTCTGCTTCGCACAGCCCTGGGCTGCGCACCTCGCTCTTGACGCCACCACCTGTTGACGTAACAGAAGGCTGATGATTGTATCATGCAATGCGTTAGATAAAAACCTTAAGATATCTGAAGAAGGATTTGATAATGGCGTTATTTATAGTTCATTCGCAATAGATCTGATCTTTTTTGTTTTGCACATAACGTTAATACTGGGATTATAACTCAGAACTCTCCGAGTTACAGGTATGTTTGCTGCAAATTTGCACGCGTTACAATCTTTTTCTTTTTAAAAACACGTTTCACAAACTCTAGGATTTTCTACTGTATCGTGGAGGCAGTTTACATACAAACATTTCACAAGGAAAAACACTTATTTGTAAGCCATTCAAATAATTTTTCCGTGCGGGATTCGAACCTGCGGTTTTCAGCGCTGCAGCTATGTAATTATGAAGTCACGGCGCCGCGGAACCGTCATTCAATTAGTAGTTTGAGACTTATCATAAATCATAATGATGATGATGATAACAGTAAATAGAAAGCTAAGTAATCTTGCTACGTCTTAAAAGTTTTTTTTTATAACTACATTTTATTTTTCATTTTAACAAAACTGAGTAGAATAACTTGCCAATATTTTTCATATGATAACAATATAAGCAACTTCATGTCAAGAGTGAAAGGCTTTTGTTAAATCTGTAATATTTAGTAAATATCTATTTAAAAAAAACATTGAGTGACAAATGAGCTAATACTCCACTTGATGGTAAGTAAATTCTGTTTAAAAAGGCCTACTATAAAATAAATCAATATATTAAGAGAGGAGAATTGATAATAATGTAAAGTTATAGCCTATATACGTCCCATAGCTGGGCACAGGCCTCCCCTAATTTCTGAGAGGATTTGTGGACAAGAAAGTGTTCGCCGCGCTGTCCAAATGTGTTGGCGAGAACTTCACATATCTTCGAAATATTTTTTTTCTTATTTTTCAGAAGTAGGTTGTAGGTTTCCTTGCGATGTTTTCCTTCACTGCCGAGCACGTAATAAATCAGCACTTAAAATTGAATTTAACAATTTCATTGGTGCCGGCGGTGGATCGAACCCGGTTTACTAGCATGCTCTGAGCGAGCGCTCTCCATCTGAGCTACCATGGCTCATAATGATGCATGGAATCTTAATCTCCATTTGCAATTCTTCTGGCTACTGATATATTTCTTAAATAAAATTTTTACAATACACTTGTCATTGCCATTGAAAACAAAATTGTAACATGGTATTGCACATACACGTGTACAATAAGAATAGGATTGGAGTCAAAAATAAACAGGTTTTGGAATGTTAATGATTAATGGAATATTAAATTCTTAACATTACTAGAAACATATGAATTATGACTTATGATGAATGTTTCCATAGAGCAGGACGGAGAAAATAAAAATGTTACAGTAATAAAATTAATAAATTCTTTCTTTTTATTATGTTGATATTGTAAGAATTTACATAACTTGCATATATTGAGTAAAATTATTAGTTATGGCAATAATAAACTGACGATTTCAAATTTAAGATGCCATTAAAAGTTACCGGAACCGGATTATTACATGGTCATTGCATATTTAAAACGCTGATACGTATTTGTGTTATTCTTTAAATCGATTCTCATAAATTTAGTTTTATTTCAAAGGCATTATTATTAAATCAAAAACATATGTATTTAATTATAGTTGGTACAGTTTATACTGACCATTATAATTTTTAGTCTTACACTTTGTATATAGGTTATAGGTAGGGTTACGTACCTATATTTCGCAACTAAAAAACTAAAATTTCGCGAAAATATAAATTGAAAATCCAAAATTTCGTATTTATTCGCATAAAAACGAAAAATATTTAAACCTAGTATTTATTACTCATTAAAGTAACAAAATATTAATTACAGAATATTAGTTAAAAGCTAACATCGTGGCTGTCTCTATATTTTTTTGCTTAAGCATTTGCCTTCGGTCGTTTATGACGACATTGTAGAACTGAAATATCTTTTAGCATCTACAGTGTAGATTGGGCTATGAAGACTTTGTATAGCTGTATTCGCGAACGTCAGGTAGCAACATTTTGATGCAAGTAAAATTTGCATAAAGTTAACAGGAGTTTCTTGCTGAAGGCTTGTAATACTTGAAAACTCACGTGTTTTCACTTTCATATTCTAGGCTTCTTCCTGTGTAACTATGTGCCTTCAAGTTAGCGTCAAAACAGAAGTACGTTTTGCCAGCGTTGATGTAAAAATTTGGAACGCGGTCCTTCACTGTTGGCCTTACAAGGTACTTAAGGTCGCTCAGCGAGCTATGGAGTAAGCTACGCTCGGAGTTTCTTTGCGTGATTAAATTTGTAAAAGTTAAGATATGCACCATATCCATAATAGAAGTCATAGTAAAACTAGAGTAACTGACTTAGCCCAACAGATCAATAGGCTGAAGTAGCAATTGTCCAGCCATGTAGTCTGAAGAACCGACAACCGATGAAGAAAAAGTTTTTGAGTAGCATCCTAGTAACGGTAAGCAACGAGTAGAGCGGCGTCCTGCTAGATGGAGTGACGACCTGGTGACATGCAGAAAGTCTATGGACGCAAGTGGATCATGATCATAAGACCGTGTTATGTGTAGCATTCCTTAAGGGAGGCCTTTGTTCAGCTGTGGACTTATAAATGGGATGTAATAATGATGATGATGATGTAAGCAATTTTTTTATAGAATAAAGGTGACCAACGAGCACACAGTCTACGTGATGTGAAGGGATGCTGTGGCCATCTACTCTCTACCACTTATAGGTACATCTTAATCTACCCTCATCACCATCATTATCATTACAGCCCTTCACAAGTCCACTGCTGAACATAGGCCTCTCCCAAGGAATGGAACAAAGCACGGTCCTGAGCCACCTGTATCCATCGACCACCTACATGTCTTCTTCTATGCCCACCACACGATAGTGATTTAGGCTTCGGTGTGTTTCACTTGCGGCGCGACGACAGCGCCGCTACACCCTCAATTAATATTAAAAATACAGACGTGTTTCCAGTAAAATGGGTTTCCGGTTCCTTACAGTCACTTTACGAAACACAGCAACATTAAGCTGCTATTTTACTCAGGTATTCTGTAAGAGCGTGGTTCTTCTACAGTCGAGCTGCCTCATTCGAGCTACAACTTATAATAAGGTTGCAATATCGCTCTACGACGTAGAACCTCTACTTGTCACTACTCAGAAGTTATCTCCATCGGTACTCCACACTACTCCATTAGCTCTATCTCAATTTTTAAAGTTAAGCCTCTTAAAATTGAGACACAAAGTGGGATTTTAGGCTATAATTTCAGAACAAAATGCTTACCTGTGCTATCGTCATTCATCAACCAGGCGACGGCGGACGACGACGTCGTAGAACACAAGCCGGCAGACGACGTAAGTGGTAGAGCCAGCCCGCTCAAGGCAGCGTTCGCGCAACCATTAGCCAAGCCGCAGTCCTCCTGAGGTAAGCTCAGCCCGTCCGTGAGACTCAGCGCGGAACTGGTCGACGTGGTGGCTTGAAACAACGTCGACGCTCCCGACACTAAAAGCGCGGGTAGAGTTGCATCTTGCAACAAAGATGGCGGCGACTCGGAGGTTGATTCGGACTCGCAGGGGCTTGTGCTGGTTTCGCCCGATAATCTGCAAGTAAGTATGATTCGTTAATTAACGATTTCATCAAGGAATAATGGGAGTGTTTTTCTCTAACCATCGATTATACACAGCCTGTATAATTTCACCGCTGAACATAAGTTTCCCCCATTGATTGCTTCGTAGGGGAGGTTCTGTCACAGATGTTACGCTGGGCACGCAGGTTGGCAACCGTATTTTTTATAATCTTGAGTTGTCACGTGGAAGATGCTGCTGCTCATCTCCCGTTACACCCACGGGACGACACGGAGTAGTGGATATTTTTATACTACACGGTTTTTAAATAATTTAAAAAAAAACGAACATGTTCCGTGCCGTATGTGGTGTTAGAGAATCCATAACCTAATTTCGCCCCGCCGGTTTCGGTATGAGGCGACGCGACGTTGGGAAATGCGAGAAGAATATTCAACCAATAATATTCATCTGACGAAAAATACTTCTCGGCATTTTCAGAGACGACCAGCAGCGTCTGATGTGTAAAACGTCTTATGGCTCGGCTACACGCCCCGTCTTGCCTGTGAGCATGCCTGCACAAAGCGGTTTGCACAGGTAAGCACGTGCGTGTGGACGGTAAGACGGTGGCTCGCGTAGGTGACCTGCGTAATCGTTGACGTGCTGAAGATTGGACCGCGCGGGATTGGTTTGCACGGTTTTGCCTGCGAGCTTACTTGAACATGTGGCCGGTTATTCAAGCAGTGCTTCAGTCTGTCTAAATTATTGTTGACGACACATGTTATGTTATAAAATCTTAAAAATGAGTGATGTACGCAATTATTCCAGAGATTTTTTTTAACTGAATTCATAGAATTGTACAAATCGTTGCCAGCGTTGTGGAAAATTAAAAGTAAGGAATATTCCGACAGGAACAAAAAAAATGAAGCTTATCATTTATTAATTGAAAAACTAACTTTCTTATTTGTTGCTTTTTTACAAGTAAACAATAATATAAGGCTGCGTTTAAAAAACCTCTTCTGGCCAAATCGTGACGTGACTAGCTCTCAAAACACTTTGAGGTTGAAGTAGTTGCACAGTCCAGTTTACACCAACTTACCTGCACGAGCCATTGTACAGTCATGACTGCACAGGCCTGGACTGTGCAGGCAAGACGGAGCGTGTAGCCGGGGCATTAAACGACAAATTAAAATACAATCCATCTGATGCTGATACTAAGTGGATACTGTGGCTCGTAGACACTGTGTATCTATCCTCGATCAATACGAGCCAGTTCTCTACACTCACCCTACAAAACATAGAGAGCTGCTATTTTTGGTTGGTGTTTTGTGAGTGCGTGGTTCTTCGCCGGTTGAATAGACCAATTCGTGCTGCTATTTTTTTTTAAAGAATAAGGATGACAAACGAGCACACAGTCCACTTAATGGTAAGTTGATGCTGTGACCCACAGATATCTACATTTATCCTCTATTAAGAATCAAAACGCAGATGCGTTGTCACCCTTGAGGACTAAGATGAAAAACCTCGTTTCCAGTTAAAAAGGCTCTCCGTATTAAGCTACTATTTTACGCTGGTGTTCTGTGAGAGCGCGGCTCTTCCCCGGTCGAGCCGTCTCATTCGTGCTACATAATATAGCTGCAGCGTGGCTCTACCACGTATAAATTTTTACTCCTGGATCGTAGATGCGCCTGCCCAGCGTTCCGATAAGGCAAATCTTCCCTACAATGTCCAGCAGTGGATTTTACACGTCGTTTAAAAAAGAACGATAAAGAAATTTCAAAGTTTTGTAAGGGGGAAATATGACAATTTTTCTCGAAATATCAGCCATTTCTATACACCATACCTAATTTATAAACGTGGTAGAGCCACGTTGCAGCTGTATTATAGCTGCAGAATTATGAGGAACGCCCGACTTGGAAAGGATCTTGCTTTCATAGAATACCAGATCATGCATTCAAATAGCAGCATATTACTGCTATCTTTCTTGTAAAGAGTACAGAGAGAGAAGAGAAAGAGGGACAGAGAGAAACTCTTCTTACCGGTAACGGGTATTCTATTTTAGTTGTCCTAAGTATGATATCGCATATGAGCATTATTGCATTGCTAAAGACGGAGTTCATTTTAAAATTGCGCGTGATTATAAAATAAACTCCGTCTTTTCAAAATAGAACAAGTGTGTTAGGGTCGGACAGGGTAATTGAAAACAAGCTTAAAAATCCTTTCATTACCATATTTCGGAGTTCTGCGTAGATCTAAACGTAAATTTTATCCATAGACAACAAGTCCACCATTTTGATGAAAGATGTCACTCTAATAAAAACTTGGTATCGTGGAACCGCATTTAGTTATTTTTTCTTATAAAACAGTTCCATAGGAGATACTGTTTGATCTTTTAATGTGGAAAAACAAAGTAAATATGCATTACCGATTGTTTCATAGGAATGATATGGATCATGAGTAGTAACTGTGCATGTACTTTAAAGGTTATGTTTCATATTATTAATCAAATCGCATGTTTAGGTACTTTTACCCCAGTGATACCATCTATAAAAATCCGATAATTTAAAAAATATCAAAATTCCTAGTTTAAACTGATCAGTTGGAATGATCAGTTGAACTGACCGTGTGTGTCGTCCGTAAGATAGAATGCCTCGTTTCCAAAAAAGGATCTCCGGTTCTTTATACTCAATATAAGCTATTATTTTACGCTGGTATTCTGTGAGAGCGTGGTCATATCCCAGTGGAGCCGACCTATTTGTGTTACAACCATAATATAGCTGCAGCGTGGCTCTGCCAAGTAAAAACGTGGGTTTATTATCTAGAAATACTATGTAGAAAAAGGTAAAAATATCTAGACAGTGGTAGTGGTAGTTCAGTGGTTAACGCTCGCTGTAAATATAACAGAACGCGAGTAACCCGGGTTCGATCCCCGCCGGCACCAATGAAATTGTTAATTGCAATTTTAAGTGCTGATTGACCACGTGCTCGGCGGTGAAGGAAAACATCGTGAGGAAACCTGCATGTCTGAGGAATAAGAAAAAAATATTTCGAAGACATGTGAAGTTCGTCAACACGCATTTGGGCAGCGCGGCGGACACTTCCTTGCCCTAAACCCTCTCAGAAATGAGGGGAGGCCTGAGCCCAGCAGTGGGACCGTATATAGGCTGTAACTTTACTTTACTTTACTTATCTAGACAGACGGACGCCTAAATTTTTTTATAGACAAAGCCGTTTATCAATTTTTATAGGCAAAGCCGTTATACGTTGATAACTAGAGAAGTCGTAACCTAATGATCGCTTACAGTTAAGTGTTTACGTCAAGCGCTATCGTTTCAAACAAAACACTCGGTTTAACACAACAGTAGAAATAAAGGATCCATTAAACACCGCTCTCAGTTTGTTTACGAAGAAACGTCTTTTTATAAACGGACATTTAAAACATTAAATGACTTAATTTCGGAAAGCGGAAAATGGGAATAATCAAATGAACGCTTAATGAGATTGTGATATAAAGTTTTTTTTTATTAGGATTTGCGGCTTTGTAAGTACTACAGGTATCGTAATATTCGAGTATAGGATATTTAAATGCCAGATAAATGTAGATATTAACAGAGTAATACAGACACAGAGACAATACAATAGTACTACATATTATTGATCGAAATGTTGCTTGTAGTGATGCAACGAATACGAATATTAGACATTTACCGAATATTCGTATTCTGCGAATACTAATCACGAATATTTAAAAACTAATATTTTTGTATGCAAATCTCATTACTAGCAGGCTTTGAAAAAAATACGACTTGTGCAACCCTTGACGCAACGACGGCTACACAAGGGCAGAGGAGTTATTACTCATTTTAACACTCAAACAACCGAAAGATTCTTAACAAACTAACAATATATCGAAAATTGTTTTGTTTCAAGATGTTGAAACTAGATGGGACTCAACATATCAGATATTGAAGAGATTACATGAAACACGCATAGCGATTCAAGATGTTTTGCTATCTCTACCAAATTGTCGTCATGAAATCACAGCAAGGCAATGGGCTCTTATGAGCCAAATTATTGATATTCTGGACAATTTTGAAGAAGCTACTTAAGAGCTGAGCAAAGAATCAACGACATTATCTCAAGCAATACCAATAATACAAAGTCTTAAATCTTGCCTCTGATTCATTAGCCTTTTATTTGGCGAGAAGATGTCCATTTTCCAAGACTGATAAAACTGAGAAGATGTCCATTTTCCAAAACTGAAAAAACTCACTTAAAAATATTTTTCACTGAAACACGTACAATCGCCTCAGAAAGGTTTTTTCAACGGCTGGGAACACCCAGACTGAAAAAAGAAATCGCCTAAAACCAGAAAATCTACAAATATTTTTAAATTAAAAATTGCCTGTTGTAAATTTTAATTATTAAAACAAAAGAACATCATCAAATAAATTAGTTTTTCCGTACCGTGGTGAGCTATTCATACTCGTATTTGTATTCGCCGAATAGTAGGTTTTGATATTCGTATTCGTAAAAGTAGTATTCGTTGCATCACTAGTTGCTTGCAATTTTTTCTCGCCTTAGTGGCTTACTGGTTTAGCGTTTCATTATTGGACGTCACTTGCGTAATGACATGTCTACAATGTTCCATTACAGTCTATGAAAAGTCCAGTACTGAACCATAGATTGCCTCATAGCGGGGGTATGATGTCAAAATAGCCACGCTTGGCAAGCGGCTTTGGCAAACGTTTATTTTTTATTCAGCTATTAACAGATGCTTCCGCCCATCTCATTGTTAAGATATCCTCTGTCTCCTGTCTGCCTCTTACAGCGCTACTAAAAATATATACTTTTAGAACCACTGTTAATTCACAGTCTGATGTTTTTTAATTTGTTAATAGATATATATTTTCAGTACGACAAGGTATAAGTCTTAGTAGCGTTTCTTATCGGTCTGGTGATGCATTCTGTGCACCTTCCAATCCGAAAGATTTTGGGCTTTTAGGGCATCTAATATGTAGATAGTATCGAGCTCCTTG